GGGAGGCCCACGGTTAACATCGACGTGTAGGGAGTTGCCACCTTCCACCCAGTTGTGTTGTACGACCTAAGATCCACTTCATCATCGAGACATAACACGTGTTCTTCTCCCTTTTCCCTGCAGCGATCGCATACATATAAAATGTAAATCCCTTATTATTTCCTGAATACCAGCTTATTTTAAGTCAGCCGGCTTCATCTTCGGACCAGTTGTAGCTCACGAACATTATCCTAGTCTTGTTCGGTTCCTACATCCACAGTATCTTTTCACGTTAGAGGCATGTCTCGTTGGTTGTACCTCCCTCCTCGTTGTGTTGATGCCTGCCGCGTTCACAATGTAACGACCCGATCGTGCCTCAATCGGCATGTACTTTGGGGGGAATAAACCTATTATATACATTTATATAAACTTATATATATATATGATTCCTTAGCCTCCATTACAAGCATGAATAACTTATGTCCAAAGATTTTTGTCATATACCACTTATCCATTAAAGCTGGTGTCAGTGCTTCGTGGACTGATGGCCGTTTCTCCTACATTCACTATCTTTCCAAGGTTATGGTACTCTCCAACTCACTACGTTTGGTTTCCATAACCACACCATGACTTTATGTGTATCTGTTCGCTTTAGATCTCTTCTACTCTGTTATCATATATTAGCAAACTCAACCCCTGAATGATCGCTAGTCGACCACCAAATCGGCACTAGTCGGCACAAATCCACCAACTTCTCGCCCTATTTAATTGCTTGTTGTCGCCACCCTAATTGTGGTAAACGTTGAGTTTTTCCTCCTGTTGATTACATTGTCCTGCCTGATGGCTTTGCTGATCTCCTCCCATTGCGTCGTCTTCCCAAGCTTTGATCTTCGGTAGTGCCCGGTTTGGACGCCTGTTTGGCTGTTATCCACTCCATCTGGCCTGTGATCTGCATCCACAGATATCCCCAATGAGGCAGAAATGCCTGTAATCTCACATTTTCTCCGGCCTAACTCTAGAAAATTTCTCGGCCAACCAGAAAAAATCCCGCTGCCTAAAGAATCGCACAGCTTAGACCAATGACCTTGTATATGGCGTCCGTTACGGGGCTGTTCGAAAACCGAAGTATGTCGGGCCAGTGATGGCACGAATCTTCTACACTTAGTACAATAGCACACCCGCAACTATTTCCTTCCTGCTCTTGACCGTACCTCTCGCCCACTCGTTTACTTAACTCCAAATAGGAACAAACTCTTCACCTAAACCCAGCCCCCTCTAGGATGCTTTCATTCAAATCCGTTGAACCTTTTGTTCGAAACTAACCATTTCAATGGGCTGTTAGTTTGTGCTCTCCACAAAGTCAATAATTTTCTCTACAGATCACTTTTCGGCTTGTGTGTTGTCGCCAACTCACTCTCACAAGGGACTTTTACACCTGAATCCCTTATATCAGCAACACCAATGAGTCCTTAGGACTTTAGTGCATACTATGATACTTGGATTACTGCTACCATTTATCCGCATGACTAATCCCTCTTCTTCATCACCCATACTTTCGCTTCTTGTGACGTCAGTCATGAGCCCAACAGTTCAAGGCTACTAGGCCTCAGTGGTGGTTCTAGCCTTAACTTCAGACTGACCGGCCGGAATCTGCTGCTTCACCGGGACCGCTGTTCTGGTTCTTTAGTTTCGGCACTTTGCAGTTTTCTTGTCATGCGTCAGTCGTGCTACCTTTCGTTTTGTCCTCCCTTGATTTTTTGCCTGTCATCTTCAAATCTTTACATCGACATCAGATAATGCACACTGTTTACGACAGTGTCATTTTTTCGAGCAATCCCCCGCACCCAAGAACCCTGCCGCTCATGATTTTACTCCGACTGTAGCATTATGTTCATGCCTGACGGCATGCCACCCTCCAGTTTAGAATATACATTATTATTATTGTTTTATTTATTTATTACCATTGTTATTTATTATTGTTTCACAGCAACTATCTTTCTAATATTTCTAATATTTCTTTCTAATATTTTCGCACGTGCACCTTAGGATTGTTTATCGAAGTTGGGAAGGTAGCACGTTGCTTGAGTGCCGTGCTTACCTTGTAGCCACTGTCTCCGAATGAAGCCAATAGTGGGCGAAAAGCTTTGTCCCATGGAGTTTTGGCTATTAAAA